AGCGGAGGGAGGCTGTTAATGTGCTGGACTCGCATCTGACCTCAAAGTGCACAAGTGCAAAGTGATTTTGACTCTGAAGTCAGGTCTGGTGTGAACGCAGCATAAATCCACACTTTCTGTAAGATAAACCAGGACCAGGTGTGGACAGGAAGCTTGGATCCAATCAGATAATCGCTCTGATGTCTGTTGCTCCTCAGGTCAGAGCGAGGATCCATCGGTCGCCTGGTCTACGAACAGGAACCATCAGGAGTGGAGCGAGGAGGAGAACGGGCGCTGGTGGGAGGAGACGAGGAGGGCGAGAGCGGAGAGGATGAGCGAGGTGGAGGAGGCGGAGTCAGCAGCGARGCCGACTCCCCGCAGGGAACCATCAAACACAAACCGAACGGCCGCTCGGTGGCCCTGGCGCAGGGACAGACCCGCAGCCCCGCCAACGTCCCCCTGCCCATGCCGTCGGCTCGGACCCTCCCGCCTCACCCCATCCAACACCCCCACCCTCACCCCCACCCCTCACCCATCCCTCACCTGCCCACCATCCTGCACCACCACCCGCAGTACAGCCAACCACACATCATGCACATGCACCACGTGCACGGCGGCAGCCCCTACATGCCGCACCACTTCGCCCAGCACCACTACCACCACCTGCACCACCACCACCTCCCCCACTCTTACCCAGAGCCCCCTTCGTCCCCGCTGCCCTCCCCGGTCCCGCCACTGTCGCCGCTGCCCCCGCCGCTCACGCCCTCCCCGCTGTCCTCCGCCTCCTCCGCGGCGCTCCAAAGCATGGAGGCGCAGCAGCAGCACCTGGCCCACCACGCCCACCTGCACCACCACCACCTGCTGTGCTCCGACGGTGACAACGAGAGCGTCAACTCCACCACCACCAACTCCAACGACGACACCACCATCAACAACTGCAGCTCCGGCTCCTCGTCGCGCGACAGCCTGCGGGAGCCCCTGACGGGCGCCACRCTGGGCAAGCAGACCTACCAGAGAGAGAGCCGCCACAGCTGGGACTCGCCCGCCTTCAACAACGACGTGGTGCAGCGGCGGCAGTACCGCATCGGACTCAACCTGTTCAACAAGTGAGCCGACACAAGTCCTGCTCTGGCATTCATTGGCCTCGCTAAGAGTTAGCAAAAAGCTAAATGACTAGCTGAGTGAACATTCACACAGAGCGCAGCTCATCTGGTGACAACTGGTCCAGATCCAATAAGTAGAGCAGGAAATGTCAAATTAAAGTATTTGTGATGATGGAATAATTCTGAGACATCATTTGGATTTAACACAGTGGTGGGCAGCGCTAATCCAAAATTTAGCTCCGCAATCTCTAAAGCGCTTATGCCATAGGAAAACTAGCAGAAGCTAATTTTAAAGCGCAAGTTCAATTTGACACTTTCTAACTGGCAACAATTCATGTACAATATATGTACAACACTGCCAACTAGTGGTGTATGAACTCTTCTACAACTTAATCCTA